AGGTTTATGTCTTTCTGAAGAGCAGACTGTGACCAGTGTATGTCCTTATGATCCTCATTCCCCTTTTATATATAGATTTATTATCTATCTATGTCAACCATTTATTCTTTTCCAAATCAACCAGATACTTAGAAGGCCAAAAATTGGAGGACATAGACTGGTAGGAATGAGAACACAACCCCAGAAGCTAACCCGAAAATGTGAAGTTACAGCAATTCTTGTTCTCTATGGTTTGCCTAGGTAAGCTTCACTACTAATGATTGTTACAATATTGAACCTAGCTCACACTGGAGGCTGCTGTCTACAATTCATTATAAGAATTTCAATCAGATCTATTAATGTTCTTCAATATGCTAATCGATGATAATTTTTGCTTTGTTTACGTACAGGTTGTTGACGGGTGCTATACTTGCTCATGAGTTGATGCATGGATGGTTACGTCTTAAAGGTATTGTTTATATTGTAGAAATACACTAGCTATCCTCAAAGTTGGTGATGCTTTCAAAATGAGAAACATATTAGAGTAATTACTTTGTAATACTTTTTCTTATTCAGCAAGAACATTAATTATTCACCTACACCTGAATTTGATTTTAAAAAATTGTGCAGGCTACCGTAATCTTAGTCCTGAGGTTGAGGAGGGTATTTGTCAAGTGCTTTCGTATATGTGGCTTGAGTCGGAGGTGATGCCAGGTTTTCGAAATATGCCATCCACATCTACAGCTTCTACATCTACATCTTCATATTCATCTTCGAAAAAAGGCAGGACTTCTGAGGTTGAGAAGAAGTTGGGTGAGTTTTTCCTGCACCAGATTGCCCATGATGCTTCTCCAGCTTATGGTGGAGGATTTAGAGCAGCCAATGCAGCTGTCAATACATATGGTTTACGTCGTACCTTAAATCATATACATCTCACTGGAAGTTTTCCAATATAAAGAAACCAAGCTCCCTCCTTTCACCCCTTCCTCTTTCTATTACATTCACTCTGACAGATACAGCATACAGGATAGTTCCTCTCTTCTTCGGTCTCAACTCTCTGAGTTTCAACATCAGCTGACCATGGAAATCTTAAATTGAGTTTCCACCCTTGGTTTTTATGGGGTCATTTACACATCACATTATTAGATTCTACACGATTACATAATAAACTGTCCAAGTACTGCCCGTATATTTGTTGAGAAATCACTTGTATTTTATTTACTGTTATTGTTATTAGTTGAATTACCATGATTGATACAATTAAGGAATTCTGAACTTGAATTATTCTTTTGGAAGGAAGTTCTTCCAGCCTTTCATCCTTGCTTGCTTAGTCTCTTGTTCTTTTTGATACAAAACCGAAGCCAATTGTATAAAATAATAGCCCTATATTACTTTTTGCACACTCCATTACTCCAACTACATACTTATAATTAGTTATAAGAGAGGACATAGGATCCCTCCATCAACCCCTCCCCCCCCCCCCCCCCAAGTAGTTGGGGGTTTGATCCTCATCCCTCACATTCTTGTGATAGGGTGGGAGACCCCTGTATCTTACCTTTTTTTTTAAAAAAAAAAAAAAACTACATTTTTATAAGAATAAATATTAGCGATTAAATTTATAAAAAGTTAGCTTTTGACACAAATTAAACAAAATTTCAAATTTATTCTATTACTTCTAGGGTTAAACAGAAATTCTAGAATATAAAAATATGGAATGTGCTGCATTACTACATACCAACTTTGATGTGTTTATCATTGTAAGAGTTGTAACATACAGATTATCAATTAAAACTTAACTAAATACATATGGTAAGAAAATAAAGACATATTCAATACAAACCTATGATAAACGTATCAATATGGAAGTTCATTAAATTTATAATTATACATAAAAAAAGACATAAAAGCAATAAAACTAAAATTAGTGATATCATGAACTCGTTGTAACTATAGCTATCAATTCGGGTAAATGGGTCGGGTCAACTCGGCTCGGGTCAATTCGGATTAATTCCATAACCTATGCGGGTCAGGTTTGGGTTGGGTCATGCTTGAGTCGGGTCACTTCGGGTCATACTTCTTATCGGGTTTGGATCGGGATTAGGTCGGGCTAATAACAGGCCGGGTTACATTTGGGTCGTGTGAATAATAGGTCGGGTTTTCACGGGTTAAAACGGTTTAGGGAAATTCTCGAGTTCGAGTCGGGTTCAGTTCAAGTCAATAATTTGCGGGTTAGGATCAGGTCGGGTCATTCTCGGGTTTGAGTCGTGTTCGGTTCAAGTCAATAATTTGCGGGTTATAATCAAGTTGGGTCATTTCCAAGTCGGGTCATTCTCGGATTCAAGTCGAGTTATGTTCAAGTCGATAATTTGCAGGTTACAATCAGGTCGGGTCATGTCCAAGTCAAGTCATATTCGGGTTCAACATAGATAATTATCATTTTTATCAAGCTAATTATTTCCTTTGAGTCTTTGACTATAATATATATGGCAATATACTAGGGAACTATAGTCTATAATTTAGGAAGATAATTATCTCCTTTAACCATACAACAAATATATACTATATTTAACTCTTAAATTTGAGGATGATGCTCCTTTCTTTTGCTGGCCTAGACCGACTTGGTCTCCGTGGATAAAATGCTTTGATCAACAATAATAAGGTGGTTTAAATTGCATTTAAGGTGATTTGAAATCGGGTCAGCAATAATTTGGGTTGAATTTAGGTCGGGTCAATAACAAGTTGTGTTAATTTCGAGTCGAGTTAATAACAGATCGGGTTGAATTTTTGGGTCGGGTAAATAATAGGTCTGGTAAAATTCGGATCGGGTCAATAACAAGTCGGGTTGAATTGGGTCAGATCAATAACATGTCGGGTTGATTTTGGGTTGGGTTTGTAACAGGTTAGGTTAATTACGGTCGGGTTAGGAACGGGGCGAGTTGAATTCAGGTCAGGATAGTAACAAGTCGGGTTAAATTCGGGTTTTGACGGATTAAAACAAGTTTGGGTCAATTTCGGTTCAAGTCGGGTTCGGTGCAAGTTAATTAAATTGGTCGTTGTACACCGGTAAATCGGTGCAAGTTGTAAACCGGTAAATTGGCTGTTTAAATGGAAATTGGATGGTTCCACCCACCCAATTGGACTCTCGGAGAGTATTAGGGACCATGGTAAACATTTCGCCAATTTTTATTTCCAGGCGAAAAAAAGCCAAAAAAATTCCAAAATTGAAGGCTAATATCCACGCTTTTTGAGAAATTTCGAAGGTTTCGGGGCCCGGTGTCGAAAAGTAATGATATTTAAGGGGATACATCTCGGGTTCACATAATTCCGTTTGAAACCATAAATAACCATTATATGTTGCCATAAATGTTCGTGGTAGGTTTGAGTTAATGAAATCAGCACAAGTTGTAAACCGATAAATTGGTCGTTTAAATGCAAATTGGATGGTTTCACCCAACCAATTGGACTCACGAAGGGTATTAAGGACCATGGTAGAAATTTCGACAAATTATAATTTTTGGGCGAAAAAAAGTCAAAAAATACCAAAATTGAAGGTTAATATCCACGTTTTTTAAGAAATTTTGGAGGTTTCGGGACTCGGTGTCGAAAAGACTTGAGATTTAAGGGAATAAATCTTGGGTTCATATAACGTCGTTTGGAACCATATATGATAATTATTTGTTGTCATAAATGTTTGTGGTAGGCTTGAGTTAATGAAATCGGTGCTAATTGTAAACCGGTAAATTGGTTGGTTAAAGGCAAATTGGATGGTTCCACCTACCCAATTGGATTACCGGAGGATATTAGGGACCATGGTAAACATTTCGGCAATTTTTATTTCCGGACGAAATAAAGTAAAAAAATTCCAAAATTGAAGGCTTATATCCACGTTTTTTGAGAAATTTTTGAGGTTTTGGAGCCCGGTGTAGAAAAGCCTTTAGATTTTAGGAGACACATCTCGGGTTCATATAATGCCGTTTGGAACCATATATGATCATTATATGTTGTCATAAATGTTTGTGGTAGGCTTGAGTTAATGAAATTGGCACAAGTTGTAAACCGGTAAATTATCTCCTTTGACCAAACAACAAATATATACGATATTTAATTCTTTAATTTGATGATGATGCTACTTTCTTTTGCTCGCCTGGATTGACTTGGTCTCCCTAGACAAAATGTTTTAATCAACAATAAAAAGGTGGTCTAAATTGCATTTAAGGTGATTTGAAATCGGGTCAGGAACAATTTGGGTTGAATTTTGGTCGGGTCAATAATAAGTCGTGTTCATTTCGAGTCGGGTTACTAACAGATCGGGTTGAATTTTTTGGTCAGGTTAGTAATAGGTCTGGTAAAATTCTGGTCTGGTCAATAACAAGTCGGGTTTAATTTGGGTCAGGTTAGTAACAAGTTGGGTTGATTTCGGGTCAGGTTTGTAACAGGTTGGGTTAAATTCGGGTCGAGTTAGGAACGGGTCGGGTTGAATTCAGATCAGGTTAGTACCAAGTCGGGTTAAATTCGGGTTTTGACAGGTTAAAACGGGTTTGGGTCAATTTCGGTTTAAGTTGGGTTAGTTTAGGTCAATAACTTACGAGTTACATTCGAGTCGAGTCATCTCCAGGTCAATTAATGTTCGGGTTTGGGTCTCACATACTCGGGTCAACTTGGGTCTAAGGTTGGTTTCAGGTCGGGTTTGGGTCACTATTTTTTCGAGTTTTGATGGTTCGGTTAATAATCGGGTTTGAGTTGGTATTTCGAGTCGGGTCAACTTTTGACAGCTCTAGTTGTAACCCTTTTATTTGACGTTTTTTGTACTGAAATAAATAAGTCATAGAATAGCAAACGGATTGGAATATAAAACTACTGTTGTCCTAGAAATAGGTCTGTGCTTGAAAAGCGAGACGAGAGGAAGGTAAGAGAATCTCTCTACTTCCCGTGGTGGGGCTTGAACTTGTAACAGTGAGTTCCCCACCATCTCACATTCTCACCAAGCAAGCTTATTTTGTACTCGTATATAGCAGAACATATTGCTTTACGAATTCCTTTCCATTATGATTCTAATTTATTCTCATACAAGGGCTTCAAAATGAGAGAAATATCTGAGAAAGGAGATGAGCACATTCTCCACACGACTTAACATTGATAAAAACATTTTTCAATGATGTATACAAGTAAATTTTCTAAGGGTGACAGGAGCAAAATTTGCCACCAAACTAGCGGTCTAGACAAAGTAAAAAGAGGTTGCAAAGACATCAATGGAGCAGCATATCGAAAAACTTCTCTGTCAATCTGAATACATCCTTACTGGAACATTTGTTTCCAACAGGAAGCTACTGATCTACAGCATTATCCGACAAAAACTTCTTCATTGTCTCGTACGTCATGAAAACAATGCCTACACTGGGGACAACCTTATAGAATTCAGGGAGAATCCCTCTGTACAGTCCTTTCAATCCTTCTGTCCGGATGATATGCTTAAATGTACCAAAAATACCAGTGTTGTATACACGTGCACGACCACCAGCTCCTTCCAATTGCATCCTTCGTCTTACCAAATCAATGGGAAATATTGCTGCAGTTACAGGAGAGTAACATCAGTGAAGTACAAAATGTAGCTCATTTAGGTTTTCAAAACAAGATATGTAACAGAATCAAATTACCAACAAAATGAAATGAATAGGTGGCAGTGATCACCATTACTTGCCACAATTATACAGTAGAAATTGCTAGCTAATGCCCAACATTGGAAGAGGACTAATCATATTCTCAACACACAAATCAAAGCTTCATGGAAATAAAAAAGATGAGCAAAGCAATAGTGTAATAGATGAACTCAAAAGACTTGGCCTTTAATGTTCACATCCACCACAAAGGAAGCCTAAGTGAGAAGCATACCTCACAAGAGGAAGCCTCTCACATTTGGCATAGGAGAACAGGTTTCAAATCATCTGAGACTGGTGCTTCCCTAGAAAAGAGACCAACTGCAATGCTTGATAGACTTTGAAGATGAAATTAATCCAAGCAAGACCCTTTTGAATCAAAAGAGTCAATAAAATTCAAGTATTAGGATTTAGGAATTTAAGATAAATTCTAATTTAATTCCCTGCAAAATCATTTGCAAAAATTAAACAACTTCCTGGTTCCTGGCTCTAGTGTCAGTCTTGTTAGACATTTAGTGCAGAGCCAGCACCTCAGCCTGTTTCTCTGCATCAAAAGCATATAACTAGAAGTATTAACTTCTCCACAATACTCATGAGTATCTAAACAACGAAGTTAAAAATATCTAACTAGTCATCCAGAAATTTCTCTTCCATGCTGGCCTTCTCTACGATAAATTCAGTACAGTTTTCAGCATAAAAAAAAAATAATAAATAAAAAATAAATAAAAAAAAAGGAGAGAATAATAGTTAATGTCAAACATTGGCAGCCATACATGTCATTGGAAAATAATTCAAGTACGGTCAAATATCATTCCAGATTGACGATCAAGTAACAAGTGCGAACACCTAAACGTGTCAAAGTGACAGGTGCTCTGAATCGTTCAGATAACACGTAAGATGAGTAGATGGCTATAAACAAAAAATGTGAAAGCTTCCACAAAACTACTAGTTTCTTAAAGTAAATTTAGATTCGCTCACCAGTGGATGACGCAACACCAGATATACTTCCACAAGCAAGACTCACAAGCACAGTGGAATCTTGGGGCCTGTGATCCAAAAATATGGAAATAAATCAGTTATACATGGATAGTTGAAAGACCAGTATATTGACATCATCATATAGTAAAGTTAATGCATTAAGCACCTCTGCAACTGCCAATAAGACCTCAAAGTCTCGTATACAGAGAAGCTGATCGCTATATTTGGCCCCACACTCTACAAAGAAAAGTTAGATAAATCAATTGTTTAGAGGAACATTCTTCAATAGCATAGCATAAATGTTGGTCAAATAAGAATGAAGGATTACCAAAAGTGTTGCCCCAATCCCTTTATAAAGACCAAAAACGCCTTCTTCTTTACTAATGGTATGTAGTGCATGCCATATACCTTTGTAATATGTCACATTTGTCTGCAAGAATGTTGAACAAAGTTATAAGACATAGGTAGAGTTTCTAAGATGGAAAACTGATAAATACAAAAAAGAGAATCGAGAGTGATTAAACATTTGATCAAAATCGATTGACTACACTGGTTTCCAAGCCAACTGATTGATATAAGCAACAGCCATGCAGAGACAAAAGGCAAAACCACGATATTTTAATGCAACCACTACTTTTAACTTTTAAGGAAACACTTCATCGAGAGTTCAAATAATTGCATATTAATATTACAAATCAGAGAAACAAACAGATCACTTTTTTTTTTTCCCAATTTTTCAGATCAGGCGCTCTGATTTGTCTTGTGTACTTCCTTTTCAAACCAAGAACTAGTAAAAGCTCATACAAAAGGATAACTCAAATACAGCACAAAACAGGTAGAAGCGGGTCATTTGGAAATGATGAACCCAACACGAAATTAAGCGTGTTAAATATAGACTAAATATCTCAAACCGAAACTAGAACATTTAAAATGCTCTTTTAAACAGGTTGTATATGAAACTCTGCACAAACCCACCACACCTGAAAAGTGGTAGCCTTTTAAAAAATCCTCCATAAATTAAAGAATTTGGCAGGAAAAAAGGCAAAAATTATGTGCTCATATAAATAATTGACATTTTAATTCAAAAAACAATTAATTTTCTGTTCTTTGTTTTCTACTTACAAACTCAAAAGTATTTTAATCTGACTTGGTGTTTTGATCCTGAGGGGTAAAAGAACCTTTCTACTTTGAACCTTGGAAGTATCTTGTATCTGATGGAGTGTTGGTTGGCAAGAAGTTTTGGAGTAATTGTTGGTCCCCAGAGATAAGGCTAAAGGTATTGGTGTATTACACTATATTGAGTACTAATATCCATATCAACAAATACATACAGCATAAAAGCAGTCTAACAGTCCAGATGAGAAATGAAATGAAAAAAAAAAAAAAAAGCAAAAACAGAAATGGATGATTGAAGAAATGAACAACAATATCTTCACACAACAAACAAGATAATGACCCAAATAATAGAGTTTGGCTGAGAAAACTTACTTGTGCAGCAAGCCGTGTCCTCACCAAATCTAGAGGATAAGTAGCAGCTGCAGAAGTTACTCCAGCTAAAAAGCCACCTGTCAGCCGCACAAAGATATGTGCGCCTATATTTTCACTACTACTTTCTAATCCAGGAAATGACTGCAGAAGCTGCGAGAAATATTAAAAGAAAATGTCAGATAACAAGTTTAGTAGTGTGGGAATGTGTGGTAAGCTTATGAAACGCGGATACCAACATTCTTGTATCGTTCGTATGAGTAGAAACTGACGGAGGAATAAGGAAGGCGATGAGCTATTGTAACCAAGTTTCCTTTCCAGAAGGCTCTTAATCCTTCCTCGTGCATAATTCGTGAAGCCTCCTTCCAGATGCAAGCTTTCTTCAATGTTGCTACATCTGAGTGCATGCCTTGCACCTAAAAGCAGTACAATGTTAAAATAATTGAGAACTTGACAAGTTTCTGAGCAGCCAACTTAAAACAGCTAACCTATTAATCTTTAGCTGAAACAAAGTACAATCATAGAAGTTTGAATAAACACCTTAAAAAGGACTAAAGACAAACAGTAAATACCTCTTGTGAACTCTAATTAGAGACAATAATAATAAGAACATCACCAAGTAATAAAATCCATATTGATGACACATTAGGAAACGAAAATTCACATAGCACCACTAACTGCTGTCAAACCGTACACAATAATAAGAAAAAAAAAAGTAATCATCACTTTACTCTGATTAAAAACTCTGAATTTAAATAATCCATTGAATCTTTAATCAATAATCACAAATCAAAATCACATTCCAGAAACAACTAGCTACATTGGACAGCAACATGGCTCATTCGGTGTTCACTGGTCAGATAGCATTAAGGCAATGTTCTCCTCAATTTACTTGGAATTACTTCAGCCAAAATAAGTATCTTATCCTCAGATACAACAAATTCCATACGTTCAAAACATACCCTCACAAGTTCGAACAAAATACGTTCCAATGTCAAAAATAACTTGGAGAGAAGACAACCTAAAGTCTAAACTCCCGCCAAACGTTCCGGCCAACGTTGTACTCAACCTCCAGCTGACTACAACACTTACCTCCATCATATAATTTATTATCAAATAAAATTCAACAATCTACATCATGTTCAACTCTATCAATTATCAATCAACAGAAAAAAAATACCCTTCAAGAAAGAAAAAATAATGAATTCAACATTCACACATACTCAACAATAACAGGGCAAAACCATATCTTCCCAAATTGTACAGAAAATCAACAAAACCCCCAAATTACTTACTTTTTCTAAAAATAAAATAAAAATAAAACAATTTCATCCTTAAACCTTCAAATTACATAAAACTAAATCAACCCATTACAAAAATCAACAATTCCCACATTCCTGAACCAAACCCAACAAAAGGTTACTCAAGAACAATGTAAAATCAAATTCTCTGACCTAAAATATGAAAAACTTTGAGATTTTCTCACCTGAAAAAGAATAGTGAGACGAGCAAGCGGTGCGGTGCAAGTTTTACTAACGGCGCCGGCAATTCCGCCGGCAAGAAGCTGAGAAACCGTCCCAATTTGGGCTTTCTGTTGTTGATTCACCTGTACATATTTACGCGCACATCCATCTCTTTGTCCTCCATCAACGACTACCCCAACCCTTGCTTCCGTCTGCATTACGAATCACTTTCTCTCTCCTCTGTTTCTCTCTCCAAATTCAACAAAATTTGTGGGTTTTTTTTTCAGATTATTCAAAATTTAAAGGAAACCCTAGTATGAATTCATAAGAATCTAGAAAAATTTAAAGTTTTGAAGAGATTTTTTATTGGTGAATTAAATTTGGAATTGAAGAGTATAAACCCTAGAAATTGAAAATTGGCTGGTATATTTCTGCGTGGTTTGAACGAAAGGTGAAAATCAGGTGATTTGGGATTATATTTGAGGGAGTAAAACGACGTCGTAACTAACTCTAAACCGACTAAACCACGGTTTTTTTACTGCTCAGGTTTCTAGTAAACTAAGGTTAAGTGAGAGAATATCTTAAATAAGGGTTAAGCTTAAAAGTCGAATATTCTTCAATCACTATTAAACTTTTTTGTGAAGGTTTAACATTAATGTGATACCATAATAATTCAATATAAGTCGGTGGTGAGGAGGAGTTGAGTACAAGGTGGGCAAACTATATCCACATGCTCCCGTTCATACTTAGGCCTTGTTTGGCAAATGGCTGTTGGCTGGTTCATTTGACTTGTTTGACCAGCTGGAATGTTTGGCTGTTTATAATGGCTTTTGAAATTGGTTGTTTAGGGCGTGTTCGGCGTGAGCTTTTGAGTAGCTTTTAGTGGTTTGACCAAGTCAAACCACTCCTCAACAAAAAATGTGAGTGTTTGGCAAAGTAGTGGTTAGGGTAGCTTTTAGTGGTGGAGGTAGCTTTTGTGAAAAGTTAGAAACATTAGCTTTTGAAATTAGAGGTAGCTTTTCAAGTAGCTGTTGAAAATTTAATCTATAGTTTTAAAAATAAAAATTGATTTTTATATGTAACAACTAGTCAAACACTACTTTACCGAACACTCATATCTAAATTATTTATCTTCACAGCTAACAACTTGTTGACAGCTAACAGCTACCTACACAGCTAACAGCTACCTCCATAGCTACAACTATCTTCACAGCTATATTTTGCCGAACACGCCCTTAAGCTGGCTGTTTATAAAAGTGTTTGGTAAATTAATTGTTAGTTGTTGGCTGTTTATTAGATAATTTGTGGGCCAACAAGCCAACAAGCCAACAATAAAGCTACTCAAAGCAGCTTTTTCATTTTGGCTTAAAAGCCAGCTTTTTCGCTGACTAAAAAGCCAATTACCAAACAAATTTTTTAGCTGTTTGACCACCTAAAAAAGCCAAAAACTAACCAAAAAAACCATTAAAAAGTCAATTACCAAACATGGCCTTAAACTCCAAGCATATAAGACATAACAAAACTCATGATTTCGTTAGAGTTTTCACCCTATATTTTGTATATTAATATCTTTAATTAATTTTTAAAAATTATAAAAAATCATTAGTGTAAAATCACATATCGAAATAATCAGCTATACCAACAACAAAGAAATGTAAAAAAATTTAAGTTATTAAACGATTGGATTATAAAAATATACTCCGTACTTTGTTAGGAAGTAGATAGGTTTAAAATTCATTTATCATCTAAATCAACAAGTATCTTATCATTCTAAAATTTACTTATCTTTAATATACTTGTTCCGTTTTCTCTTTGGTAATCTTCTCCTATAAGGTAAAATCTAGAATAGACCCAATACACAATAATTTATAGTGTATCCAACCATCTTATGTACTTTGTATCATATATCATCCAGAAACTGATTATGTAAACGTATCATTCAAAAAGTGTATTATTTATCATTAAAAAAAAGTATCTAACAGTTATTATATGAATTTGAAAGATAATTACATAAGCTGACTAATTTGTTTAAACTACACTATATCATGCAAAATATGTCTTAAAAAAATATTATATCATCTAAAAAAAGGGAATAATCATCCAGTACAGGACCATATATTTTCTTTTGCAAAAGCTCTAGCAATTAAAATCAGACCAAATAATTAAAGAATCCATGAAAATAATTATAGATATAACAAGTTTTGTGTAAGGTGGATGTTACATTAATTTTATTTATTTTACAGAGTATTTTTTTTTTTTTTATAAAAAATGTGTTATTAGAAAAATATTAATCTTTATAGTATAAAGGGTATATCTTTAAATATGTTTAAGATAGCTTTAACCCACCGTCTTATAATAAATTAACATATACACGTCATTTTAAAAAATTTGTGTCATATATTTATTAATCAGGATATGAGATGATTCTGGATTACATATGAGTTGAGTACTGAGTAGGACCTAGCAAACAAATTAAGGTACACATAAATTCCTTGATTAGACTGCTTGTGAAGGGTGGATGACCCGAACCCCATAAGTTCTTGGAGCCGATGATATCCTCTCATTCCAATTATTATATGAGATAAAGTTGTGAATCACATGAATTAAGGATAGGCACCAACTTGGAACTTAATCCAATCATCTCACAATTTTATTCTCACGTTGTACAACATATGCAGTGTAATGAACTTAAAATTAATGGTATTTATCTAGAGCTGTCAGTTTTTGACCCGAACCTTTAAATCCGACTGTTTCGAACCGATCCGAAAAGGAACTGAACTGTTTAAAACCCGTTTTTTGGAAATCGAAAACTGACCCGACCCAATTTTTTCCAAACCGAAACTGAACTAAACCGAATTTGTGCAAACCGTTACTAACCCGACCCGTTATCAAGCCAAACCGTTACAACCCGAAACTGAAAGAAACCCAAACCGATTACGTTTAAACCCGATAGTAACCCGACCCGTTTTAAACCGAAAACCGTTAAAACCCGATAAAAATCCAATAAACCTAAATCGTTCCAACCCGTAACCCGTTGTGACCGAACCGGTTATAATCCGTAACCCGTTGTGACCGAACCGTTTACGACCCGTAGCCCGTTATGACCAAACCGTTTAAAACCCGTAACCCGTTATGACTGAGTCATTACAACCTGTTACCCAATATGTTTATGATCTAATTTGTTTCAACCCACTACTCGATAAACCCAACTTATTTATGACTTGACTTGATTATAACATGACTCGTTCCTACCCATTATCTGACTAATTCGACTCGATAATCATCCGACTCAATTTTAACCCGATATGATTTTGATTAGAAACCCGTTTCAAATTGGGTAAACTCGTTTTCAAACCAACCAAGTTCAATCTAAACCGATTATAACCGAAACAATAATGGTTGGACCCGATTTCACCCGATCTATTTTGAACCGAAACCCATTTTCGAACCGACCCAGTTAAACCCAAACTGATTATGACCCGAACCAATTACGACCCGTCCTGATTAAGACCCGAACTGTTTTTAACCGAAACCCACATTAAATGGGCTAAACCCGTTTTCAAACCGACCCAGTTCAACCCAAATTGATTATGACCCGAACCGACTAGAACCCGACCCGATAAGGACCCGAACCGAATAGAAACTGCAATTAAAAAAACCAAACCGAACTGGCCCGATAATTTTCAAAACCGACCCAAACCGACCCGCTTATTATTTCAATCCGTTATAAACCGACCCGTTATAACTCGAAACTGATAAACCCAACCCAAACCCGAACTGTTTAACCGAATTGACACCCCTATATTTATCACATATTGAGAACTACTAATAACTCTAATAATTATTCCGTGTTTTTGTATCAACTCTAATTATAAGTATTTTTAACAAATTACCAAAAGGTATTAGAGACACTAGAAGCAAAATCCAAGGGATGAGCTAAGTTTACCGTTTAGGATGAGTGGATTACATTTTACAATCAAGAAATATTAAGTTGTGGGCACCATTTCTATAATTTGTGAATGTTTATCCATTATCACGTTTTACAGCTAATTGACAAACGACTGATTGTATATTTGTCTACAACATTTATTAGTCATTTAGTCAAATATTAAACTTTACGATAGCTACCAATTCTCAACCAACATTATGAACCTCATGTTTCACGTTGATTCATTGCTTGTACTAGAATGTACTATACTCGTTTTATGCTGTGAATCTGTGATACTGCCTAACAAGTTCCTCACCCGCGCGTAGTTGTAATTTGTAAATGGTTCAGTAGGAAGCACCTGCTGGCTGCTGTTACTATGCTGAGTCTTGGCCTGAGTTAGGTGCCTGAGATAGAGCATGTTTGTATGTTTACCTATAATAAGAATGAAAACAATTCTAACCGCGAGTAATTTAAATTTGATCTTCTATGAGCTCCTGCTGTTGGAGTTGGACTTCTTTATACCAAGCCAGACGGTAATTTCACAATATCTATCATACATGATGTTAATCGATCACAAGATTTTTCGAGCAAAGGAAGTTGGACTTGCAACTATGGAAGTCAATGATTATATTCTACAATGCTAAACATGAAGTCGTCTAATTAAACACAAACTACATACACATGCTCAAACTTTCGAGCAATTTGAATTCTGATGAATCTAGTAGAATTTCAAGCACTCTCAAGATCGAGCATAGCAGTTGCATCAGTTTTCCTAGACAAATTTGGCCAAATAATTCTGGAGTAGTCCATATGAGATTCCATTATGCACTTTCAAGAGCCGAGATCAATTTCCTAGAACCATGAAAATTATTGTTTGGCAAGCCAAAATGGTACGATTTGCCCATGATTAGACCACGACAAACCAGTTGTATTATCTTGATTGCTGCCTATAGCAGAAGAATGGCTTACATGTGCTCCACTATGACTTCCTCCAACATCGAGAACCTGGTTGTTTGGAAGACGGTTGCAAAGCATGCTAAACTGTTCCTTTCCCTGCTCTGCTCTAGGGAATGCTTCAATCTTACTGCGCTTACAATGACTACTATCCTGATCTCTATGTGAGTACGCAATCTGGAAATCCTTCTCGGATAGCTGGGAATGTAACGAATTTTGCTGGTCAGTCACCAAACTGAAGAATTTTGGCATATCTTCTGCCTTGGAGCATTGAGTTTTCCTCTCAAGTGCGTGCATTTCTTCTACCATCGGCTTCCACAACCTCACTCTTGCATTGGTGAACCAATTAGATACCTGTACAAAGGATATATGAAGCTCTCTTCATAAAATTACACTACTATGAACGTCGTAAATATGTTAAGAATGTTGTTTCTTTTATTTTCAATGGGGATTTCGATGTTCAAGGGAAGTATTGTAAGTTTAAAGTGCTAACCTGACTTCTTGATAATCCGGTCTTCTGCGCCAACATGTGCTTGTCAGAATCGCTAGGATAACTGAAATAATGAATTCAGTGCATACTAGAGCATCAGTAAACAAGATCCATGAATATAATCGATGATAGAAACTTGGAGCTTCTTGTTTCATAAGGTAATTGTGATACTGAGGGAAAAAAAAAAGCAATTTCTTACGGGTGTAGAAAGTGTTCAAATAGCCAATTTCTCAGAACAGCAACAGCTTTATCAGGAAATCCTCTTTGGGATCGCCAAACAGGATGTTGGAGAAAGTTAGGAGATGGACCTTTGTCTTCTGAGCAGGACCCTGGAGTACGATCACTCCTGGTATCTACGCTACTTGAGAAAGCTTTACTAGTAACGCGAATTTGATCTAGAATGGCATTCTTTAAGCACTGGAAGTGCCTAAGCATGGCTCTAACAGCAAAGCATAAGAATGGGGCAGCATTTCCAAGACCCGCGACAGATTCAAATGATGAAACAGCTGATTGCATTTGTTGGCAGTAGAGTTTATATCTCTTGTAAACCTAACACACAAAATAAAGATCAACATTAAAAGAGAAACGATGTTAAAATGACTGAACCATGCTGCATGCCGTAGTTTGGTACACAAAACAAACATCAAATTGATGCAAAGCAAGCAAATCATATCTTCAAACTGATGTTTTGTTTATGAACTGCAAATTTTGGTCTTTTGTCACAAATTTCACAACTTCATATTACATATTTCCATCAGAATTTACCTGAGACAGAAAGCCCGTCTAGCTCAGTTGGTAGAGCGCAAGGCTCTTAACCTTGTGGTCGTGGGTTCGAGCCCCACGGTGGGCGCTCCTTTTTTATAAACGGATCTTTGAACAACTAATATTTACATCGCAAATTCATAGCTACAACTAATATTTACATCGCAAATTCATAGCTACTAGCCTACTACTACAGGGAAAAGGCAAGAAGCATGAGAGATCATCACCCCATTCACTGAAGGTCAGCTCAACTTTAGTAATCCTAGCAATTACTTACAGACTTAAACTTAGACCTTACCAATTCAAACTAGCAAAAAAAAAGGCTACATAAGAGATGAGTAATTAACATCCTCTAAGAAACTCCTGGAAAACGTGAATCATCTATCTGATGTAAAAAAAGGCTCAAACGACTCACTATCCTCTTTAATAAAGTTCTTAGTAACTTGAACGAATAGTATAATTTGAATTAATATTGTCACTAGTGATTACAGATGTAGGATATGGATAGACCTTAATAGGTGTCGTCGTATCATAAAGATCCAGCCTTCTAAAAGCAAAAGATACCATAAAGATTAGTTCATCCGCTAAAAATACAACAAGTCACCCTTAAAATACAAAAGAGTCACAATGGACTCATTATTGGCACATGGCTCCATACAATATTTTTTTTATACTAACACACAAATGACCAATGCATTACATCTTTAACAGATGGTAGGAAAATTCATTAATAAGCTTCCTTTTTTGAAGTACTACTTACTTTCTTAATCAAAATCTAGGGGAGTAGGGTTATGGCACTTTACATTTTGCATATTTAGTTCCCCTAGTCTATCTTTAGGTTCTAAGCTCTAAAGTATGTATTGTGTCATGCAAATATAGAAAATCTTACCTGGCTGACGAACCTTACTATAAATAGAAAAAATAAAGCTTATTACATTCTCTTAACTACAGTATAATTAATGCAAAGTAGACGGGGTAAATAATAATTAACCCCTTAACAATCATATAGAGGTAAAAAGAAGAAGTATACATTTTTTAATCGTAGTTTTTTTTAAAAAAAATGGTGGAAAAGGGTAGAGAAAATACATAAAAAAATGAATATTAAAAAAGATAGGAGGAAATGATTTGATTAATAAGTTTTGACAAGACTAGACATCTTTATGTCTCACTGCCAGTGCAGCAGAGAGAAAAAGAGAGAGATATGATTAATAATAATAATTTTTACCACAAGAAAACCCAAACTACTGCCCTTTTACAGTGACAGCAACTATCAGATCATCAACTCATCACTCTCATACATATCAACATCCACATATGCGTACACTGTACATCACCAGATAACTCCAATTCCCCTTGCCCTTTTTACCTATAATCTCATTATTTAACCTACTAGCCCGGATCAGGTGATAGATTTTGAACCCGTATATCAGTTATTCTAACTTCAAGTACTCGTATTATTTTTAGGTTGATAAGGAGAAGACGTCTTATATGAAGTCTCTCACAAGTCAAACAATTTCCCTCTATCCCTTAATACAAAGCCTTTTTCTAGCATTTATTACTCACATAAGATAAAAGATGCTTTAGGGACGGAGGGAGTACCATTTAACAATAACTATCTTTATAAAATTAAGCACAACTGCACAAGGATTATAGCGAATATACTCCGATCTCTTGTAGGTCACCCTATTATGCTTTTAAAGATTTTTACAACAAATTAAACCATTAATATCTTTAATTTCATACCAATAATAAAAGTCATAAAAGTTGAAATGCTACATTGAAACAATATCTAACAAAATCTAATGTGAATATTATTGATATTTTTTACACCGAGTCAGGAAAAGTCACGGTCAAAGTTAAATAATTTGACCCAAAAATAATGAAATGGGGACAAGCAATCTTGTACAAGTACAAAGTAATAATCCTAATGAAATAACACAGTAATGCATGCATAAATACAAATTTATATTATACCCATAATATTTTTCTCCAACTTTAGTTATCACAACTCACAAAACTAACTCAAAGTAACCTCTATAAATAATCACAACTTTTTAAGGTTTTTTCAACGTCATACACGGAGCATATCACTAGTTCAACTTTCACTATCTTGTGCTAAATATTCCTTGAAACTCAAAAACATCCAATGTTTATATTCTCACTTTCACTTTTCACCTAAAACATTAACATTCTCACTTTTTACTCAATAATAACATAACATTAACACAGATTAATAATATACCTAATTAAATCATGTCAATTTTACATTGCTATATGATTACAATTGTACATAATAACAAGGACAGTAAACAACTACCAAACAAAATGCATGAATAATAATTAAACACAATGCATGAATAATAATTAAAAACAGATTAAAGAAAAAGCACACTAATAATAATGTAGTTGTATTAAAATAGCAGATAATAAACGTAATTGTACGGATGAGAACATGAGTAATAGTAGTGTAGTACGCAGTAGTAGTAACAGACCTCATGAAGCATAGATACGAGGTTAGGATTACTACATCGGAGTGACAAATCATCATCAGTATCATTAAACAAGGTTCCAGAATCTTCTAGAATCTTATAAGGACCTTGTTTCTGGAAGGAAACTCCACTGGCACGGGAGAATTCTTCGAGAAGTTCTTGGGCAGGCCGGAGGAACCTAGATCGGCCCAATATAGAAGCGTAGCCCGTAAATGGGCCCACTGGAGAAGGAAGGTACGCGCGCGCGTGGGCAGAGGAGGAAGAAAGTGATAGATTAGTTGATGCCGCCGCCATTGTCGGCGGATGATGATCAGCTGATGAAGAAGTTGGGTGGAGTACTTGGAGAGGGGAGAGAAAAGGGTGTTGGTGATGGTGTTGCGGAACAATGATATCGATGTCGATATCGTTGTTCCGATGGTTGTGGTTGTGGTTGTGGGGGTGGTAGCGGAGTTTGTGACGTCGGCTTTGTTGAGGGACGTGGTAAGGATCGTCGTCCATGGAGGAGGAGGAGGAGGAGAGAGAAAAAAAAAAGGAAATGGAAAAGAGTGGAAGAAAATGGAAAGAGTTAAGAGGGAGGGAAAGGGGTGATTACTAAAGTTTTTGAGTGGTTATATGGAAAAGAAGGTAGGAGAGGGAATTGATGATTTGATGGGGAGGTAGGCAGATGTAAAGGAGTAAAGGAGTAAAGGGGAGGGAACTGTTCTTTGCTATACAAATCGACACTCATTCAATCATTTTATCTACCTATTGGGGCCTAATCTGATTTACTGAACTCAACAAAACTGAACTGAAATGAATTGTTTATGAGAGAAGGAAATTAGGAACTTAACTGAGCGGAGCTAAATTGAACTGAAATTAAATCGAAGAGAATAAGTCCTCAATTCCTCAATTGGTAGGACTCTTATCTCATATTTCAGAGGTTTAGGGTTTGAATACTATCAAGTGAGAGATATTTGGGGTAGGGATGCAAACGGGTCGGACTCGGAGGTTCGGAGTGGATTATGCTAAATCCAACTTTGATCCTACAAGAAGTCGGCAGCTAAATCCGACTCTGACATTCGACTCTAAGACTCCGTCCACGATTTGACTTCAATATTTGACCTCCGACTCCAAGTTTATTTCGTTTATTCAATATACTTTGAGAAATTGGGCTATTTGGACCTTTGCACCCCACACCCACTGCCACCAAGACCCACACCCAATTTCACGATTCATCGAAGTTAGAGTCGGACATTTGCTAGGTCAGTTTTTTTGTAGGATCCGACTCGAAATTGGATTATTTTAACGGAGTCAGAGTCGGATTACTTTTTTATTGGACTTGGGGCGGATTTTTTTTCCTCGGATCGGGGGGAAGTACGGTAGGATTCGAACTGAATTTTCATCCCTACTTGGGGGGTAGGGATTTCCTTACCCTTCCCTCTATTCCTAAGTGTTTGGCTCGTAAATACTGGTTAAAAAAAATATAAGGGTTAAAGTTTGATCAGTCAGAAAAATTAAAATCAAATCAAATAGGAGAATGGAACATAATTAACCCTAAATTGCCCCAGTCCCCTAGCTAAAGACTTCAAGGTTCAAAAACCACTCCAAACCTCACAATGGATTAAAAATGGTATATTGTTCTACACTGCTCGTAATTGATTACTTATGGTTGTAAATAAAAATTGTAAAAACACCTCCAACATATCTTTGCATGTACTAAAAAAAACATATACTAGTCTTGTATTAGTTGTTCAATTTTTTATTATGAAGAATAGAATTTACAGTAAGGTGTTTCAATTCCAAACTTGGTTTTAAAATTGTATTCGAATTAATTTTACATTAAGTGCAACTCCAGTATATAAGTGGAAGATGCACGTAATGATAAAAAGGACAATAGAGAAAGATTATGTCACATGATACATGTAGGTAGATGTTATAAAGAGAAAACTAGTCGTAGGTAGGAGAGAGAGAAAGGCATTAAGTTGACTGACGGACAGATGAGTGATGGGACTAATCAGCAAAAAATGAGATAGGTGGGTAAATTAACTTACATACCCAACTCACCCGAGCATTAACCCTTTTTTGAATTCATTCACGTAACTTATTTTTTATCCAGTATCCTCTCCCCCATGTGTTTGAGTAGTGACATCCAATTCAATTTTATTTTGTACTTTACTGTATTACGCTTGTTTTTTCTACGTACTTTCTTTATTTCTTCACCCCTGATTTTACGAGGGGCTTTAATTATCACAAATCCACCCCAAAACAAAATAAACAAACAGGATTTTCACAACAACAACAACAAAAAAGTTTAAAAAAAAATAAAAAAAAATCAAAGGATACATTTTTGTCAACTATTATTTAAATCAATAATTAGAGACTCATTGACTCATTGTTGTTATTATTTTTATCAGGTACATACTACATTACCTCTAATAATCCATTTTAAAAAGGGGAGATTGATGAGATATGAGCTAGTTACCTTGTTCTTTTGTAAAACACTATATATTTTTCACGTTGAGAACTGAAATCTAGCGAAGTGGCACGTAAGGTTGCCTCAAATCCATGAAGGGTAAGGTTCACGGTCTGTTTCAATTTATTGAAAATAAAATAAACTAAACTAAACTGATTTTGGCTTAATTGAACTGAATAGAGCTTAAATGAATTGTTTATGAAAGAAGGAAATTAAAAACTGAACTGAACTAAAATTAAATTGAACAAAACAAGCCCTCAATTCTCATTAATGACAAATTTCCTCTATTTACTCTTTCTAGGAATAGAGATTCGATTCTCATTAGTGACGAATCTCCTCCCCTTACCCCTATTTGCGGAACAACATAATAATTCATGCCAACTATAAAAACATTATAGGAATAAGACAAGTGATATATTTATAAAAACAAAGGGAGTATAAAGATATACATAAAATAAGTATTTGAGATTCTGTACGGGATGGTACCGCCACCGATATAAGTAGATAAATTCGAATCGGATCTTGTCTTTTGGATCACTTTCTACATCGACCTATTACCAATATCAGCCTTCAACGTTGACCGTGGGGACAACTGCTTCCGTTCACGTGGTTTCGTGGATACCCACCGCCCACTTGAAAAACTAGATGCGTGGATCAACACGTGGCACCAATTTGGGGATTTCTATATATATCTAAGCATAATTCACTTTTAAGGTACGATTTTCTTTATCTAAACCCTTCTCTCTACAATATTCTCAAATGTCATGTCTTACTCATATAGTCATATTATTATATTACTGGTTTTATCATTGGAACGATTATCTTCGGACAAATTCCTCAAACTAGCTAATTCACGTTGACCATGTAAGTACCTAGTTGGACAATAAATTTTTACTAACACAAAATAAAGTGCAAGTTACCGGAGCTCACTCAAAACATATTCCTTTTGTGTTTTGTATTTTCAAATTTGATATTACTACCAAATAAAGTATCGAGACCAATTTCGTAAGTAGTAAGTACTCCTAGTGTCCTATATATTTTCTATGAGACATGTATACCCCACGTCTCCACTTTTGTTATAAAATTAACAAAGAAGACAAATTTTTTTGTAAAATTATCAGGTTAAAATCAAGAGCCCGTCTAGCTCAGTTGGTAGAGCGCAAGGCTCTTAACCTTGTGGTCGTGGGTTCGAGCCCCACGGTGGGCGTAACTTTTCTTTTATATGGAACAAAATTTCAACAAAAGAGTTTAAAGCTGCTATCTATCAGTAAAATTGTAAAAATCTACTCCATCCGTAACTTTCTTGTTCGGGTGGTTTCATAGACAATAAGCCCGTCTAGCTCAGTTGGTAGAGCGCAAGGCTCTTAACCTTGTGGTCGTGGGTTCGAGCCCCACGGTGGGCGCAACCGATTGACCTTTTTTGACTCGTATCCAAGACGTAAAATTTACTTGCACAACACCAAGATCGTATATTAGTATGAGCGTACATTAGTATGAGTACAATCCAGTTACACACTATCGAAATGCAACGATGAACAAATAAAATTATTTGATTTTATCGTTTGATGATTTCTCATTAACGTCACCACAAACTTTGTCTACAATGATAGCCCTTATCTCAGGCACTAGCCAACTCCACTCTCTTCTCATCATCATAAGTATCACCAATTTTAACATTTTTGTACCTATAATTCTTAGCCAACATCACAAAAACACACAAGTTTAACACAAAAACAACCACAAAGAGCCAGTAAAAATACTCAAGACGACTGTTCCTTGCCAATCCATTTTTTCCCACCATTCATCCCCGTCATATAATCCACAATAGTTATAACAAAACTCATAAGAAAGCTCCCAATGCCGTTAACACTAAGGTAAAACGCCATCCCTAAGCTCCTCATCGAATCAGGAACTTGTTCATAGTAATACTCTTGTAGTCCTACTAGGGAAAACCCGTCCCCTATACCACTCATCAAGATTTGAGGAACGAGCCAATACACATGAATTGTATTCCCTTGTAAAATCGCGTTAAGCCTTACTCTTTCTACCAAGGCCGAGACTACCATTGTTGCAATTAAGATGACCATGCCAATACCTATTCTTGTAAGGATGTTGATACCTCTTTCATTGCCCGTGACTCTCCTTAAGTACGGAAGTAAGACCTTGTCGTACACGACTAATGAAGCAGTCATAGAAGCTGCTGGAATTTCAAAGTGGTTGAACATTTTTCTATTCATTACACTGCCTTGCTTGATGAAGAATGTCGGGCCGAGGGCATTGCCTATGCCAAACACTAACGATGTTAGCCATATCGGAAACATGGCTATTATTAGTTTTAATTCCTCTACTTGTGTCACGGTTGCTAGCCTCCACGGACTTTGCTTCTTCTTTAGTACTACTTCATTACTTTTATATTTTTCGACTATTGCAGCTTTGTCAAGAAATCTGTAATACATATACATCAAGTTGTTCACAAGCTTATATTATTTTTAGTCACGTAAAAATTAAAATGGACAACACAAAGCATGCACAAACTTAATTTTGTATACTAGATTTCATGAACATTGTATTCAATTACCTTAGTCTATTAGTATGTCCCAAAAGTCGTGGTTGGAGCTCATCTGAATTGATAGCCTCATACAACAAAGAGGGATTAGAAGGGTACGGTAGATTTCTCTTAGCAATGGCGGCAACCAAGACTTGTACCAACGGGGTTAAGGGGCTTCCAAGGGCGTTCCTAGACTGATAAAATGGTCTTCCAAGAAAAAATACTAAGACAGTAACACCCATTGTTATGGTTAATGTTATAAATCCAATGCCCCAACTTACATTTTCTTGGATATACACTATCAAAGTTACTCCAACAAATAGGCCACTACATACCGCGATGTTCCACCAGTTGAAAAATGACATCTTTTGCTTCCTTTCTTTAGGATTGTTGTCGTCGAATTGATCCCCTCCGAAACTCTCAAGGCATGGCTTGTAACCCCCAGTTGCTAGAGCCATAAGGTAGGCTGCTACGAAGAAGACCGTCCCGTGGACCTTGCTAGCATGTTGGCATGGACTCGAGGTTGTTGTACCACAAGGTTTGAGGCTTGGAATGTATTGTGTCATGGTGAATATACCTAGACTCTGAATATAAAATAATGGAAGAAATGTACATCTTTGTTAGATTTTAATGAAACTGTGCTAAGATTTTGTATAATTGAAGGAATGTTATCTATTGACCCACTACAATCTTATAGCTTCAAATGTCAACACAATCTATAAACATGTGAACTAAAAATGTCAATAAAGGGTAAGTTAGATAATTATAATGGGCCGGGTTGTTTTGATTGGGCCTAGTGTCGTGGGTGAAAATAATTGAGTCAAGGCCCGAACAGCTACAAATTCTTAACCCAAGACTACGGTTAAAACCTCTAGTTGATAGCTCGTTTTGCCAAAATCTATCATGAGTCATTAGTCTCATTACAATCAAAGACCTATTGATTCCCGGAGATTGTTTTTTCTCCGCGTTTCTTTCTATTTATTACATATTATTATTATTTTTAAGTATTATTACGTGGTCTTATGTTAAACGTGTTAGAAATGTTGTTGCTCATTAGTCCTTACTTACTTAGATCAGTGTTTGTTGAGCTAATGAGAAAATCCAAATGTGAATATAAGTAATATACCACATTAATTGATTGTATAAGTGAGAGTTTGTATTGAGTTGTTTATCCCATATTGAAGATAGTAAAATATTGCTCCCACTGTATAAGGTTAAGAGGCTAACCAGCTAATCCTCATTGTTCTATGATTTTGGGGTGCCACCTTATCGGTACTCGTAGTATAAAGTGGATATTGTGCCGGGTATGAACTTGGCCAATTAAATGTGTTTCTTGATTTTAAATATTACGTACTCCGTATTACATTTGCCAATTTGCCCGACAAGGCAACACTTAATAGGCACTAACCTTTCCTTTTAAAAATAATTCATTGTACACTTCTAATATTATGAAAAGAGTCAAAATTAACCAACTACTTTATTAAATTAGTCTATATTCAATAATTAAGCGGATGGGACAACAATTAATGGCAAATCTTTATGATTAGCATAACTTTACCGATTATTAGGTGTAAAGTAAACTTATGATATTAAGGGTGTGCAAAGGATATAGAGATGAAGAGGACAAGATGTTGGAATAAAGATATGATATTGGTGAGTGAAATAAAAATAAAATATACAAAATTTTGTTTTTGTGGAAAATAAATATTTAATTATATATGAGAAATATACATTAAGGTATTTTGTTATAAGGAAATACAAATTAAAGTAGGTAATCGAGTTCTTAATACTTCGTATTTTTGTTAAATGATCGATCTTCCTTATCATTTTTTTTGCCATAAATTTTACATATTCGGGTATCTAATACTAAATTTCCAAGATTTGGGAATTGGAACTATGTGTATAGTACTATAAAACATATACCTAGAACTCAATCATCAGCCGTTTTTAATTTGGTTGAGTTGGTTTTCGATCTAAGACTATGAAAACCCATAGTATTACATTTGTTTCATATTGGATGTAATTTTTTTATGTTTTGTAAATAATATCCTAAAGTTGCATTTAATATGAAATGGAAAATTGGAAATAGTATGAAATATTAACCTTGTTTGGACTTATTTCATACCACATACAACACAATTACGTCAAACTTGTACACACCACCAAAATTTGATTCAAAGGAAGATGCATAATATAGAGATTAGAGGGGGTTGGACTTGCCAAGACATAAAGGATTGCGGAGAAGAGAATCATGAAGTAGCGACCAGTATATGCATCAGCTAGAAATCCACCAAGAAGAGGCATCACCGTGCTTACTCCGGACCATATATTCACGCTGTTCGCCGCCGTTTTCAGGTCTTGGTGCATCACCTTCGTCATGTATATTATCATATTTGATGATATACCAAAGTATGTCATTATCTCACTGAATTCAATTGCTGCATATATAGTACAATTAAGTTAAACCACACACTACAACTAGCATTATTAGGTGTTATTCCTATGTACGTATGTGGATCGGATTGGATCGAATCCTCTCTAGTCCTTTCAAAGATATCAATAAATGTACTTTCTCCGTTTTTATGAAATTATACAAATTAGAGTAACAATAAAACTCAATAAGATAGGATCTGGACTCGTCGTAAAGGTAACAATTATATAAACTTGTTACGTACTTGAATTGCTAGTGTATATAAGTAGAGAAGAAATGTTACCTAAGATGAAGAAAGAGGCTTTCCTCGAGCCAGTGGAAGCTCGAAGAGGAATCCTTCCTTTGTAATCAAATGATGAATCAAGAACTTGTGATTCCGCAACATTATGATTATTTTCATTGGCATTTGTTGTCTTTGAGATTTTCGACTCATCACTTTCACTGTGTTTCATGCATTTTTCTCACTTTCACTATATCAATAAATTTGTTGGAGTGGTTTAAATGATAGTTTGTTTAAGGTAGCACTCCCCCCCCCCCCCTATTATATACTCTATCTAGCCACTTAAGAATCGACTATGTGCATGTCATGTACCCATATCATATTGTCGTGGTAATAGTGCATGGCATTATATGACATATTCTGTATCTCTTCCGTTTCAAATTAATTGACATATTTATCATGTATAAATTTTATTGTAAATAGTTTATGCGCTAAAGTCCCGCTTACTTCACCTTAATTTTACAGAACTGAAATAATTTATTAAATTGAAATTATATTAGCTGAACTAAAATTATTTTTACCTGTTTTAATTTTTACTTGTTTCAAAAAATTATTTTTTTACTGATTTTCTGTTGTAATTCATTTTTAAAGTTACCGATTTTTATTGAATTAAAATTATTTTTACTAAACTGAAATTAGTTAAACTGAACTAAACTTATTTTTACTAAATTGAAATTATTTTTACTGAATATTTTTAATAAGATGAAGTGAACGAGGTCTAAGAGAATGAATCTAATAAGATTATACCTGATTATTTTTTTTCAATTTACTAATATTCAGTATAAACCACAAAAATTAGTCAGAGTAGAGATTGTATAGTTTCAAGATCAGAGTAAACGTGTTGGCTGATTTGAATTGAAAAGTGAAATAGGGAAAGTATCATACTAACACGTACAAGTTCACAGTCAACTAGACCCTTTCATTGAATCCCTTACATCTGAATTGATTCAACACATAATAATTACTAGCTTAGTTATTATTCATTCAATCAGTGAAATTAGGGATAGTAGCTTCAGGAAGATTAGCCTTAGCAGCAGCAGAGGGCTCAACACCAGGGTGAGGTTCAACAGTCTTACCTAGAAGCACCTTTGGCAAATCACCCTTTATTCCCTTCAAATAAAATGTGTATAATATCGTGAATGGGTAAACAATTTGTTGCAATTTCACTTGTCCATAGGCTCCCTCGAAGATGCCCGAACCGCCCGTGATTGATAAATAACATGTCTCATAGGTTAAGTATGGTCCTTGGATTGAAATGTGACCAAGATCTCCAAAGTACATGCTGTATACTGCTTCAAATCTCACTCCATTTTTTTCTGGCTTGTTTTGGATAACGATGCACATTCCTGCTGTTATTCCTAGCCTTGTTTCTAAGTCTCCTGTGTATAACTGTTGTCATCACAAATTGTGAGCAGCATTTTTTGTCAATCTATTCATTAATTAACCGTTTTTTGTAATTCATGTGTAAAGAGATCGGTACAATTCAAGTCAAAGAGATCGGTACAATTTAAGTCAAAGAGATCGGATATTTAGAACAGTTGTTCTCTTTTTCTTCTTAGTTCTTACTAGATGACAAGAAACACAAGTACACAAGCACACAAGAAAATATATTCACTCTGACTTTTTAAGGAGAAATTAAATAATTAATATTGCCTCCGTTTTCTTTTTTTTGCAACACTTCCCTAAAAAAGAAATGTCACAATACTTGCAACACACTATAAAAAGAAAGTTACTTTATGGAAAAACTATATTATTTCCTTTATTTAAAGCACATGGCCCACTAAATTACACTCCTAACAACCACTCATTCCATTTTAAAGTGTATTATATCATGTGAACCTCACATTTCTTAAATACCGTTAAAAAGTATGTGTTGCATCTAAAAGAAAACAGAGGAAGTACAAGTTTTATCTTCATGATAAAAAAAATAAAATAAAATTAATAGCATTTTTGTAAATAAATCAAAAACTTTTGTTAAATGTAGATCCCATTTATGTTATTTATGAAATGTCATATTGAGATTTGATGTTGATTTATTTACAAAATTGCCATTTGATAACGTTTTTTTTTGGGTTTATTATGAAGATGAATTGAGACTCCCTCGAAAATGCATGAAGAAAAAGTCACAATTACCTTGTTGATGAAAGGAACCAAGTCACCAAGAGCAAAAACAGGTTTCTTGCTAAGTTTAAGAACAACAGGGCTTTCACGATCTCCATCATCAATCTGATAAGCACTGAATTCATGAATCTTAACATCTGATGATTCATCAACCTTAACCTCTGAAAATTAATTACCCACAAAAATGATTCATTAGTAACATTATTCCAATATCAATAATTTTCAAAATTACAGTAACTTAAAATTCAAGTTTAATTTATGCATACTTTCTGCAACAGCAGAAGAGTTTCTGCAAGTAAAAGATCTAGCAGACAGCTGATTTGCAGAGTTATATTTCAGGGGTTTGTTAGTGACAGAAAATCCAGAAGATTTAAACCCAATTTCACCAAATTTAGCAGGAGAAAATGCAAAAGATTTTGATTTTTGGCAAGTTTGAATTGAAGAACAAATGTTGTTTGATAAAAAGGAAGATGATGCAGCCATTTTAATCAGTAAAAGATTGACACTTTGTAAAAGTTTGAATTAAAAAGAGAGAAAACAGAGGATATATTTGATGATTTTGTGAAGAAAAAGGAGCAGAAATTGTTTGGTATAAATAGAGGAAAGTACGTGAAAAAAATGTAAAAATGATCGGGAAATGATGGAATTTAAGCACAGAACAATATTTTTTTTTTTTGAAAACAAGCACTGAACAATATATTTTTTTTTTTGAAAACAAGCACAGACCAATATAAATAAACACAAAAGTGATAGACTTTAAGTTTGTAAAAAAAAACATGGTTAATTTGAATTTATATAAATTCAAGTTGCTTTTCACACATCGGCAATATAAACCAATCTTAAAACATGCATGTAATCTTGAGAAATATGCACTCTAATAATAACACATGCATACATGCACTCGATTGAAAATTATGCACTCTAATACAGTAATACGGCTAAGTCATGCACTCTATTGATTCTGAAGCTCGCAAATTGTAGTGTTGTTTTTTGGCGAATAAAGACTTGCAACTAGTTTAGAATTCACTTAGCAATCTCAGCTCGAAGTCCCAAAGTCAAATCTTAATTATTGTGTGTGGACCTGGTTCACAATAAATTATTGTGGACTCGAAGTTTATAAATGTTTAACTGATACTCGTATTATATTGAATATAGTGATCCTAATTTTAACCATAGTAACCTTAATTTTAACATTTAATTTTGGGTTCCTTTTTTAGTATTAAATTGGGAATTTATCGACAATTTACGAGTAAATCGGTGTAATAAATGGTTATTTATTGTCTTTCCTTTCCATTTTTAGCTTCTTTTTCCTTTAATTTTAACATAGTAACCTTTGTTAAAATTTGTGTAACCTTTAATATTATACGAACCCAAAGTACTATGTTATATTGAACATAGAGACTCATTTTAACATAATGACTTTATTATTCATGTTGATTAGTACATTATATAATTTGTCATAAAAAAAACATTTTATGACCTTTATAATAATACAATGACTTTTTATTTTAACATGATAACCTTTTATTTTAATATAGTGACTTTTTTTTATTGATAAAAAGATCATAGTGTCCTAATATTAGTGGTTCACAATAAATTAATGTGAATTGGGTCTATTTAAGAGTTTGTACTTTTTTACAACTATTGCTGCTGAATTAGGGCATGTTCACATTTACTTAATTTCAGTTCAGTTCAGTTCAACTCCAATCAGTTCAGTTCAGTTCAGCTCCAATTAATTCAGTTCAGTTCAGCTCTTAATTTCCCTCTCTCATAAAATATTCATTTCAGCTCAATTCAGTTCAGTTCAGTTCAGTTCCAATCAGTTCAGTTCAGCTCCAATCAGTTCAGTTCAGCTCAGTTCAGTAAAATGTGAACAGACCCTTAGACAAAAAAAATTAGAAAAAAAAAAGCATAAAAGATGAGGCTTCACAGTCTTACAAAGAAGCTCTTTAGGCAAATTTCCCTTAATTCCCTTAAGTAGTTTGTGTAGAAAAGCTTTAGGGCCTGTTCTCATACATTTATTTTCAGTTCAGTTCAGTTCAGTTCAGTTCAATTCAGCTTCTAATTTCCTTCTCTTATAAAATATTCATTTCATTTCAGTTCACTTCAGTTTTAGCTGAGTTCAGTTTATGAGAGGAGGCCCTTAGGGCCTCAGTGGTACAAAATATTCTGCAATTTAATTGATGGCCAAGTATGTTACATCATATAGGTTAAGTATGGTCCTTGTAGTGTCACTTTGATGGATATAAATCGATCTTGATATATATTGTGGAAGGAATTAACCATGATGTAATTTTATCGCGGTAGATGTTTCTACATTAAGTGATTGACATTTTATGTATATATAAATTCTGTAAATTGTGTTTAATAAGTATTGATATATAGTTGTGTTTTTCATTAAATGAAATAAGGTGAACATAACTGAAAATGGCTGATGAGTATCGTTTATAAATGTCACTAGGACCTGTTCTCATACGTTGAAATTCAATCCAGTTCAGTTCAGTCCAGTTCAATTCAGTTCAGTTTAGCTGAGTTCAGTCAATGAGAACAGACCCTAACAAATGGTCTATAGCTAGTTTTTCGTATGTTGAGAAAATATACACAAACTTTCATAGTGGTTGGCCACACAATGTGACCAGCCACAGTTTTTTTTGGAAAGAATGATTGGGGTTACTTGGTTAAAAGTTACTCGGTTGGTCAGAGTTAGTCAGAGGTTATTTACTCAGGAGTTACTCAATCAGTCAGGGGTTACTCGTGTACGTGTTAGTTGGCCACACACCAAAATTGCTGGAAAATACGACGACCCTATTAATGTAACATATTGTATGTAATTACTTTAGTATTACTTGTTGAATCTCAAACCAAGCTTTAGATTACAAAAAATTGAAAGGTTGTAGTCAAATAGTATCCTTATAGTCCATAAAAATAGTTTAACGAATTTATGCAATAGAAACAAGTCAAACACTCAAACATGTAAAGGAACCACAAGTTCATAACCAACCAGACCCTCCCTTACATGTGAAGGAACTAAACACAGACATATGCCCAAGTCATTGATTCAACCCGTAATATTTACTAGTAATAATCAGTCGGTAAAATTAGGAATAACAGCTTCAGGAAGAGTAGCCTTAGCAGAAGCAGAGGGCTTAACACCAGGATGAGGTTCAACAGGCTTACACAGAAGCACCTTTGGCAAATCACCCTTAATTCCCTCCAAATAAAATGTGTAGAATACCTTGTATGGGTACAAATAGTGTATCATTTTCACCTTTCCATAGGCTCCCTCGAAGATACCCGAACCGCCTGTGATGGATAAATAAGATTCATCATAGGTTAAGAACGGTCCTTGGATTGAAATGTGACCATAATCTCCAAAGTACATGCTGAATGCTGCTTCACATCTATCTCCATTTATTTCAGGCTTGTTTTGGATTACGATGCGTATTCCTGCTGTTATCCCTAGCCTTGTTTCTAAGTCTCCTGTGTACAACTGATGCCTTCAAAAATTATTATGAGTAATGAAAATTGTAGTCATACTCTGTATTAGATTAATTTTAGATTAGTCTTTTGTGATTCATGCGTAAAGAAAATTATAGTCATACTCCGTTTTTATTTTTATTTTTTAGATTATTAGTCTTTCACAGAAAATCATAAAATTATGAAATTACCAAAATGAAATACACTTCTTTTCCTTAACGTGAAGAATTTTTTATTTATTTTGCAAGTACAATTCATATAGAGTATATACTCTACTTTGTAAGTTGTTGGATTACTCTTTGAGTCGTAAGTGTTCATTTTCATAGTATAATTTTGTTTAAATTTCTCAATTTTTAATTATACTAATAGTTAAAGAGGGCGCTAATTAGTATAAAAGTGTAAAGGTACGTAGCCTATGGTAGAAGTCAAAATGTAACATACATTATCGAGAAATAAACAGACTATATTGGTGACAATTCTAGACCAATTTACACAAAAAGTTCATAAGATCAAAGCTTACAAATGTCATCATGCACAAAATCATTACATATATATTAAAAATAGAGTAAAGATTGATACCTTGTTGGTGAAAGGAATCAAGTCACCTAGAGCCAAAACAGGCTTCTTGCTAAGTTTGAGAACAGCAGGGCTTTCACGGTCTCGCTCATTAATCTCATAAACACTGAATTTATGAACCTTAACATCTGGTAATTACCCATAAAAATTATAAATTAGCAACATAATTCCAAAATCAATACAAAAAAATTAGAGTAGAACATGGAAGTTAATGCATACTTTCTGAAAGATCAGAAGAGTTTCTGCAAGTAAAAGATCTGACAGGGAGTTGATTTGCTGAGTTAAATTTCAGGGATTTGTAAGTGACAGAAAAGCCAGAAGGTTTAAATCCAAGTTCATCAAATTTAACAGGAGATAATGCAAAAGGTTTTGATTTTTGGCAAGTTTTAGTAGAAAAAATGGTGTTTGATAAAAGAGAAGATGATGCAGCCATTTTTACTAAAGATTGAAACTTTGCAAAAAGTTTGGATTTTAGAGAGAAAACAGAGGATTTGGTGAAGAAAAAGGATTGGAATTTGGTTGGTATAAATAGAAGCCAGAGAAAAATGTAAAGATGATATGGGAAAGTTGCAAAATGTCACAGACCAATGATGCAGCCAATTTTATCAGTAAACACCAAGGTAGACTGGCAGACTGTGGTCTTGGATTTATAAAATAAAAACCTTATTTTTAGTTTGCAATAAAAAAAACATGGTTGAATTTAATTTGTATAATTAGAGTGGTCAAGTGCATCAATTTTTTCGGGGTTGTTTTCACACCAGCCAAATACCCAATAATAACACATGCACTCTATTGATTCTGGATCTTGCAAATCGTACAATGTTTATTTAGGCAAGTAACAAAGAACAGACGTTGGTGTAACTGGCTAGAGATTCACCTTGTGATTTTAGGCATAAGATTGAATCCTTCTAATTGTAAGCACTTGGACTCTTGGAGTGAAAATCCTTTACCCTTTACCTCAGTTTCAAGAGCCGAACCCATAAAGCCAATTTTAAGATGATACTATCCCGTTCTTTGTTATCTTCTCAGTCGCATTTTGCACGGTTTTCAATATACAACTTTGGAGGCTATGTATATCAAAGAGATCGAGGTTTCCAATTGAATCTAATATGTTCCCATAAATGTTCCCATAAGCTATATCAATGCATGGACTTTCCTTGAAGTCCTCTCTTATAATGATTCTTGATGAGGGAGCATGATCAAGTCTTCAAATTATCAAGAAGGCGTCTTTCCTTGAACTATTAAGAGCATTAGTGTAAGAGTCACTTGAATAAAGACATTATTGACAGGAAGTATCAGATCCGTATACCTGTGAAAACTCAACATCCTTGTACACTTGTACCATATAATCTCCTCCAAAATGTTAAGAGGCGATTATCATAACCCGAAGGAGGCGCAATTGGTGGTTGTTGAGCCTTTTGGTTTTGATGGACAAATTGACAAACTCGACTAATGAATGTTTTGAGTCTTTGGTGAATAAAGGGTTCAAGCAAAGTTCGTTCCGGAGTAGGAACTTAGATACGGAGTAGCATTCTCTAAAAAGCCTCGTGCAAATCTCACGTTCTAGTTTTAATTGTGAGCACTCAATAATATAAAGTCGGAAAGGAACTCAATGACTTATGTTATTAAAAAGACTACTGGAATAAAATTAGTTTTAAAAGATAATTTCTTAAGGAAAAAGATAATTTATAAAAGTTTTATCTAGTCATCTATTTTCGAATAAAGATAATTATCTAAGATAATTATCTAGTGGTTTTAATATAAATAATTAATTTATCTTTTCAAATAAAATCCTTTTTAAAATAAAATCTTTTTAAAACAAACTTTTGATAAAGTTAACAAGCAGTTTTCTTTGTTGTGAAATTCTCTGATTATACGGTTTTATCAAAGCTAATGTTTATCAAGTTGTTGAGATAGTGGATTAGTGAGATAAGGCTAGGAAACCTCCTTCATGATCACCATCTGTCAAGATAACTCCACAAGTTGTTAGTGGGGTGTTGGCATGTGGACGTGATTATAGTGGAGGTTAATGACTAAGCCTTCTCTATAAATACTCATGCAAACTATCTCAGTTAAACACAACTCTTGAGCATAAAAATTCCAGTAGCAACCTAATAATATAAAGAGAGTTATTTTCCTTCATATATTCTTGAGTGTAATAGGTATTTGTAATTACAGATTGTATTGAAGCACATTGGGGTTTGGGATTGTGAGTTTGTGTAAGGTGAGGTCAAGGAAGCTTCGCTGCTGAAGGCTTCTGTGAGAGTTGGGAACAAGTTCCTAATTTGTGGAACTTGTTAACGGGTTTGAATCTTCACTTGTAAAGAGTTTGATTACATAGTGGAAATTTAGAAAAGCCTATATCTTCTCTCGTCATTATTTCATTTAGTTAAATTCCGCAAAAGTTTTTAGATTTCATCTCAAATACAATTCATCCCCCCTCTTGTATTAGCCAGTTAAACTTTCAGTTGGTATCAGAGCAGGAACTCAGAGCACGCAGGCAACCCTGTTGAGTAAGTTCCTGGGAAAATGGCTTACACAGAGGAAAAGGAATTCAGGAGTACATCCATTCAAAGGCCTCCATACTTCAACGGCAAATATTATCCTTATTGGAAGGATAAGATGGAAATCTTTATCCAAGCAGAGAACTATCATGTATGGCTTATTATACAAGTAGGAGATTACGAAATTACGAAAATGAATGCTAACAATGAGGTAATCCCTAAACCTATGGATGAATATGAAAAAACTGATTTTGAAAAACTAGAAATGAATGCTACTGCCAAAAAGTTTTTAATTTGGGGACTTGGACCCGATGAACATACTCGTGTCAAAGGGTGCAAGTCCGCAAAGGAAATTTGGGATCTTCTGGAAGTTACACATGAAGGAACGTCAGATGTTAAACGTTCCAAAATAGACATTCTTTTGTCTCAGTATGAGCGCTTTGAAATGGGAAACAAAGAATCCATTAAAGACATGTTTACTCGATTTAAAAGTATTGTTAACGAACTAACGTGTCTTGGTAAGATAATTCCTATAGATGAGCAGGTCAGAAAGGTCTTAAGAAGTCTTCCAGACAATGACAGATGGAGAGCAAAGGTTGCAGCTGTGCAGGAATCAAAAGACTTCACCAAGTTCAATCTAGAACAGCTTGCGGGTTCCCTCATTACCCACGAGATCCAGTTGAACAACCGGACTCAGGAGACTGTCAAAAGTCAAGGGCTAGCACTAAAAGCTAATGAAGAATCCGAAGAGAAGTCTGACATTGATGAAGAAGAAGCTGCAATGTTGGTGAGAAGGCTGAAAAAATTCTATCGTAATAACAAGTTTTTAAAAAAGAAGAAAGGATACAGTAAAAGAAATCAGGAATCCAAAGCCAAGTCTTCTTGTCACAAATGTGGAAGCACCAACCACTTCATCAAAGAGTGTCCATTATGGGAATCTGAGAAAGGCAAAGGAAAAGAAGCTGATCAAAACAGAAACTCCAAACCTAACTTTTCTAAAACAAATTTCAGGTTAGCAATGATTTCCACGTGGGGAGAATCAAGTTCCGAAGAAGAGGAACAGGAACACACAGACGATGAAGTAGCCAATCTCTGACTAATGGCAAAGCATGATGATAAGGTAGTCATTCAACCTAGTTATTTGAAATCTCTCTCAAAGGATAAGTTAATCTCTTTATTGTTAGAAACCTTAGATGAATATAAAGAATTATGTGCAAAACTAAGGCAAGCCGAAAAGACAACTGGAATTTGTAGAGATCATGTTAAGTATCTGAATAGCTTAAGAAATGATGTTCAAGGCAGATTCTTTGAATTGTTAGATAAAAATATTATGCTAAAAGAATCCCTTGAAAGAGTCAAGAGTGAGAATATCATGCTGAATATTGAATTGACTCAATATAAAATGATGTGTACTAACATTGATTCTTGCAGGTCTACTGAAGTTCCTTTAATCATGTTTAATGAACTAGAGCATGTTAAGAAAGAGATAAAGGATACTAATGATAAAAATGAGAAACTAGAAAAGGACCTAGAAATTGCAAGAAAAAGTAAAAATACAGCAAGCACGGGTGTTCCCAAGTGGGTAAAGGAAGCTCAGACAAAAAGAACAGAAGGTCTAGGCTATGTCCATAAGAAGAAGTCTACTGGAAAGAAAAAGAAGTATGTGGATTTGCCTAGTGAGACTGTTTGTTCATTTTGTGGTAAACAAGAACATCGCAGTGAAGAATGTACTAAGAAAGCAAAATAGTACAATAAGAATGTGAACTATGTTTGGCAGAAGAAATCTGATTCAAATGTGTCAACACAGGAACCCATGAATGAAAGGGTTCCTGCTACTAACCCTTAATTTCTTTTGCAGGTCGCAGTGAGGGGGAACAACCAGTGGTACCTCGATAGCGGTTGTTCTAAGCACATGACAGGAGATGAATCCAGATTTCTCTCACTGACGGCCTATACAGGGGGAACAGTGACCTTTGGAGACAATAAGAAAGGCAACATTGTTGTTGTTGGCAAAGTAGGAAGGTCATGTTCCCATGCAATTGACAATGTATTTTTAGTCGAGGGTTTGAAGCATAATCTACTCAGTATTTCTCAGTTTTGTGATAAAGGAAACCCTGTAAGCTTTTCTTCTGAAAAATGCAAAATCATCAACAATAACACTGGAAAAATCGTTTTGGAAGGAACTCGTAAAGGGAACACGTATACCGTGGACCTTAACAAAGTTCCAAAATACAATCTATCTTGTTTAAGTGTTATTGAGGATGATCCACTTCTATGGCATAAACGTTTTGGCCATGCTAGTCTTTCATTGCTTGACAAATTAAGGTCAAAGGACTTGGTAATCGGATTACCTTCTATCAAGTTCCTAAATGACAAAATTTGTGAAGCCTGCATCAAAGGAAAGCATATTCGATCATCATTTAAATCAAATAAAATGGTAAGCACCACAAAACCATTGGAACTCATTCATATGGATTTGTGTGGCCCCGTTAGAATTCAAAGTAGAAGTGGAAAAAGATATGTCTTAGTTCTTGTGGATGATTATTCTAGATTTACATGGGTCATATTCTTACATAGTAAAGATGAAACTTTTGATATGTTTATGACTTTCTTGAAAAAGACACAAAAATCAATAGGTAATCAACTTATTCATATGAGAACTGACCATGGTACGGAATTCGAAAATTCCAAGTTTGATGAATTTTGCAGGGAACAGGGAATAAGTCACAATTTCTCAGCGCCAAGAACACCACAACAAAATGGTGTGGTTGAGAGGAAGAACCGAACATTGGAAGGCATGGCTAGAACATTGCTAATAGCAAGTGGGCTTCCAAGGAATTTTTGGGCAGAAGCCGTTTACACAGCATGCTATATTATCAACCGAGCCATGCTCAGACCAATGTTGGACAAGACACCTTATGAACTGTTA